CCAAACAGAGCTGGTCACTGCCCCTGAGGGTCACCACTGTACTTCACACACACTCAGAGTTAGACCACATGCATCTTGACTGTGTGACGTGAGGCTGATCTGGCTATAGCACTGGACTGAGCAAGCTGATCAATTATGTTTTGTATGTTAATCATTTGGTTAGTTATTTCACTGCTTTTCCTACTGAACTTTGAGTCCTGGAAGGTACGGACAGCAGCTTCCTTTCTTTTTGTTCCCTAGCCTGACTGACTACCTGGTTGGGTCTCAGTGACTATCTGGTGACTTGCTTTGGGGAGTCCAGGGTAAATGGCACCAGTGGGATTCGCCTGGATGGCTGTGGATATTGCCCTGAGAGTGAGAACATTTGTCCTCTTCCTCTCCAGGTGCTCTCTCTCATCCCGAGGTCTTCAGTTATGGGGTGGAAGTATATGAAGCCTACAAGAAGCAGTCTCTTACCAGTGACATAGTCGCTGAGCAGAAGGTTAAGGAAGCTGATCTAGTGATATTTCAGGTTTGTTTTCTTCTAATTGTTATACTGAATTAGTTTTATTCTATGGATAAACGCTTTCCAAATATTGGATTTCATACTTCTAGAAGTGATATTGATATTTTCAGCACATTTGCTCTTTTTTATGCCTAGATGGGTAAGAAGAGCTATATAGCCAATATTAATCATTCAAAATCCTGACCCCCAAGTAAATAGAAGTACTTTGCCTATAGCCCATTGGTCCAAGAAATGTCTGATCAGGCACATCACGTTGCTTTCATTTCCCTCTTTTCCCCACCCAGACAGGCAGGGGCTGCAGAAAAACCAGCCTTATCTACACCAGCAGACCACCTGCAGCTCCTGTCTTACATATCCTGACCATTAAGAGGAAAATATTTTGTTTCCTGCCTCTCAGGGGTTGCCTCATCTGACCACCATCCCTGTATTCATTCACAAATCCTTCCAGGGCCAGGATTCACTTCCTGAAGAACTGGCCTAAGAACTCAACAAGAACTCCCTGTCACAGCTAGGTTTGCAGTCAAGGATGTGACCCTAAACTTGGTATCAATATAAACATTTAGTCTTTGGGAATCATTGGGGTAATGGAAATACAAGTCAAACTACAATAAAGGGGGCCTTGTCACCTGAACCCCAGGACAGAGGGTGGCAAGAGACAGTAGAAACAGAGGCTCTTCTTTGTCTGAGTCTCATCTGCTCTCCGCCTGCTGGCTCTGTCCTCGCTAGCTTCACACCAAGAATGGGAGTTTCTAGATTTAGAATCTCCAAGATGGCACTGATTGGTCCAGATGTCTGCTTCCCAACCCTGGTGAAAGCAGGAAGAGGGAAAACAAGGCCACCCCTTTCTGGCAGAAGGATGATGGGGCTATAGCAACTCTGGCAACTCAGAACCACAAGCAGCTCTCTCGATTTCCTTCCTGTCTCCCTCAGGTCAGCTGACCATTCATGGAAGTGGGTAGCTAAAGCAAGCCAAGGCCTGTTCTTTTATAATGGTTGTTTCATTTTATTTTATTTTGTTTTGTTTTAACTTTATTTTTATTGTTGAGACTATTAAGTTGTTTACTTTTTTAAAAATAAATCTTTATTGTTCATATTATTAAAAATGTTCCTCATTCCCCCCCCTCCATTGCTCCCCTCCACCAGGTTCGCATCCCACCCTCTGCCCTTTCCCCATCCCCCATTGTACTCATCCATAGGTGCACAGTTTATGTTCAGTCTCTTCCCGTACCCCCCTCTCCTCCTTTTCTCTGAGAATCGTCAGTTCACTCCCCTTCCATACTTCTGATTCTATTATATTCACCAGTTAATATTGTTCATCAGATTTTTTAATTCCCTTGGTCTTTAGATTCACTTGTTGATAGTTATGTATTTGTTGTTAATAATTTCTTCCTCTTCCTAAAGTACCCCCTTCAGCAATTCAAATAATTCTGGTTTGGCAGTGATGAACTCCTTTAGCTTTTTTTTATTTGTGAAGTTCTTTATCTGGCCTTCAATTCTGAGTGATAGCTTTGCTGGGTAGAGTATTTTTTGCTGTAGATTCTTACTATTCATCACCTTGAATATTTCTTGCCATTCCCGTCTGGCCTGCATGGTTTCTGTTAAGAAATCAGCTGACAATCTTATGGGTGCTCCTTTATAGGTAACTACCTGCTTTTCTCTTGCTGCTTTTAATATTCTCTCTTTGTCTTTTGCTCTTGGAATTTTAATTATGATGTGTCTTGGTGTGGTCTTCTTTGGATTCTTTTTGTTTGGGGTTCTGTGCACTTCCTGGACTTGTAAGTCTAATTCTTTCACCAGGTGGGGGACGTTTTCTGTCACTATTTCTTCCAGTATGTTTTCAGTATCTTGCTCTCTCTCTTCTGGGACCCCCATAATTCTGATGTTGGTTCTCTTGAAGTTGTCCCAGAAGTTTCTTACATTATCTTCAACTTTCTAGATTCTCTTGTCTTCTTGCTTCTGCAGAGGAGTGTCTTCTGGTTCTTTATGTTCCAAATCTTTGACTTGATTCTTGCAATCTTCCATTCTGTTTTTAGGATTCTGTATAATATTTTTTATTTCAGACAATGTATTCTTTATTTCTAGTTGATCCCTTTTCATATCCTCATAGGTCTTGTTTATTTTATTGGCCTTTTCTAGGAAATTCTTGAAAAACCTTATAACCATGGTTTTAAACTCTATAGCCAGTCACTTTTTGTCCTCCATTTCTTTCATTTGTGATCTGTTTCTTTGTCTTGGTATTTTTGCTGCTTCCCTGAGTTAGTAGGGTGGCTTTGTGTGCTAAGGTGTCTTATATGGTTCAGTGGGTCAGCCTCCCAGTTACCTGAGGTGGACACTCTTGGTGCACCCTTTTGTGGACTGTGTGTACAGCCTTGTTGAGTTAAGTCTTGATTGTTGTTGATATCACTGGGAGGAACTGACCTCCAGGCCAATTGGCTGTGAGGATCAGCTGTGTCTATGCCAGGAGACAGTCTTATTTGACTAGACTTGGAAAGTTGGAAAGTTTTTGCCTCTGTGCTCAGCTTGGATGGGGCGGAGTTTCAGGGTGGAGCCTACAGCCTTGGATTTCCATCAGCCCCACCCTATGAGGTTCCTGAGTCTCAGTGTTCCTCAGTGTCTTTCGGTACTGGCTGCAAGCACCTCTGAGAGAAAGGTGCCCTCAAGTTTCGCCCACTACCAAACAGTCTAGGCTCTCCCCCAATGAGCCCGGAACTGGGATTCAGTGCAGTTGAAAGTGGGGTTGGAAATGGGGTACAGAGTAGTCTGGAGCTTTTGTCTCCTTCCCACTAGGGCAATGCAGCAGCATAGTGAACAGTCTTTTCTCTGCACACAATATGCGCGCCTCCAGGACTTCCTTTCGCCGCTCCCCTGATTTTCTGCCTTATAGCCCAGACTCTCTCCGTAAGAGCCTGGGTCCCCAGGGTCTGGTCTAGAACTGGGGTTTAGTGCAGTCGGGACTGGAACTCTACACAGTCTGGAACATTTGTCTCCTTCCCGCTAGGGCAATCCAGCGGCACAGTGAACAGTCTGTTCTCTGGGAGAAATGTGTGCACCTGGGACTGCCTTTTGTAGCTCCCCTGAGTTTCTGCCTTACAGCCCAGACTCCCTCCAGATGGGCTGGCTCCCCAGGGTCTTGCCCAGAACTGGGGTTCAGTGCTGTCAGAACTGGGGTTCAGCACAGTCCAGAGCTTTTATCTCCTTCCCGCTAGGGAACGCCAACCAGGCACTCAGCCGCCCCTCTTCTCCAGCTCCTTCCTTCTCCCCGTGAGCACTGTGTCTCCATATTTTATGCTTTTACAGCTCCTCCGATTTTCCTTCTGGAATTCTTTTTCCTTCCAATTATAGAATTTCCAGTCAGTCAACTTTCCTGTAGTTCTGGATAATGTCTATTTTGCATTTTAGTTGTATTTTTTTGAAATTGTTGTGTGAGGCTGCAGTTAGGTGTTTACCTATGCCGCCATCTTGGTTTCTCTCCTTCAGTTGTTTTTTAATCCCACTCATATCACCTCTCTTCTTCCACCCTCTTTATCACTTCCTTATATTTTACCAACAGGGTCTGCATTGTTGGTTTATTTGTTTCATTCAGCCCCACTCCTACTGTTACCATACACATGTCACTCTTCACTGAGCAGTTACTGTGTTCTGGATCTTCCCTCACCACAATGCTGTGAGCTAGAAACTAGGAGTAGCCCTCTTTGTAAACTAGGAAAAGGAGGCACAGCGAGGTTAAGTACTTGCCAATATCACACAGAAGTAGGCTTTGAAGCTTGGATCAGTGCAAGTCCCGGGTTTGAGTGTGAGTTAGAGTGAAATCACATGAAGCACAGGCCCCCTTTCACCTTTAGGAACTCTTTCTTATCTGTGTCCATCTCTTGGCATTGGTGGCATTATTGGATATATTGTCAGGGCTTCCATGAGAACACAAAAACTTTGGGGAGATCCCACTGGAGTGTGGGATCTGAGGGGAATACTTTAGCTTGTGTCAAACCTGAAGCTTCTCAGAACCTAACTCAGTCTGATTTCTAGACAGCAGCAGCTCCCCCAGGCATACAAAGGGGCAGAACCTATTTCCACATCCTTCCTCATGTCCCTTCCATTGTGTCGGCAACAAACTGCCTCCACAGATCCGAGTCTAGCAGAACTTCTGAACGCCTCCACGTCTGCTTAGGGTCCAGTGTAAGGGGCTGTCAGTAGGGGATGCAGAGCCACCCATGACAGCAACCAGGACCATTGTCCACTCTGCCCTACCCCACTCCACCTTCTCAAACCCACACTGCATGCCTCACACTGAAAGGGAAGAAATGTCCTCACTGTGCTGCCCTGTGGGTTACACTCTCCTGCTCAGTCACCCTGCAAGAGGGCGGCAGAATTCCTTCTGAGTCACCAATAGGCTAAACCACAAAGCCTAAGACAACCACCAACCATAGCATTCGTTTGTCCTGGTATTTCCCCAGTTCCCACTGTACTGGTTCAGCGTGCCGGCCATCTGAAGGGCTGGATGGACAGGGTGCTGTGCCAGGGGTTTGCCTTTGACCTCCCAGGATTCTATGATGCCAGGTTTCTCAAGGTATGTGCTGGGATAAGAATCACTATGGACTGAGGGAGGGACAGGGTGCATCTCATCGAGTTATATTTCTAGTTTGCTTTTTTAAAAACCAATATTGATTGAGCATCAACTATGGGCAAAGAAAGCTCGGCACTGCACGTGGGTGAATAAAAGCATTGTTTCTGAAGCCTTGGAGCTTTGTCTCTCTAGGGAGGGGCACAGACTCAGCCACAGTGCAATCTGTTAATGGCTGTGAGGGCCTGAAGCTTTTGCTGGGAGGGTGGTGTGTTGCGAGAGAAATTAGTGGGCTGGGTGCACACGAGTGGGAGTAGGGATCTTGCTTACCGCTGAATGGGTATGTTCAGAAGACCCCACAGGCGAATGTGATGTGGTAAAAATCTTTACTAGCATGGAGTTACATTCCTTGTTTGTAAAGTTCGATGCCCCTTAACCCAGTCCTGAAAAGGGGGCAGCTGAGGTTCCAGCAGATCCAAAAGCAAAGCCAGGGTCCCAAGTGTCTGTCCATGTTGCAGCTGTGTCCAGCTCAGCGTCAGTTAATTTAGATTCCATTAGCTTATAGTTTGGATTCCACATGGCCGTGAGCCACGTGGGTGCAAGGGTGGTGTGTATCCCCTTCCTATAGCAAAAGCAGGAATTTTATGCCTATATCCCCTTCCTATAGCAAAAGCATACACTTAAATTGCACTTAGAAAAGAAAGAAAATAAACCAACTTGAATGAATTTTTTCTCAGAGAGTAAGGAAAGATAACTTTTTCACTGCGATATCACCAGAGTATTTACAGAAGAGCCTTATACATAAGAGAAATGTTTGTTGATTGACTCCCGCAACAGGAGGGCCAGGAGCCCAGTGCGCCGGGTAGAGAAACAGGAGAGCGTGCAACTTTGTGCAAATGTTTAACTATTCAGGTTTCATGCCCTCACAGTGACCCCACTCATTCTGGCCAATCACCTCTTCCCAGGTGTGATTGACAGATAAGATCTTCTCATGTCATCCAGACTTTACTGGGCATGCATCCTGTGTCCAATCCCTTCCCCGATCAGTCAGCCAGGAACAGACGTGGATAATGTTAAGTTCTCAAAGCTGTATACATGGCATGCCTCTATTCTCTAGTCTTCCCTTCACTCCTTCCTGTTAAATAACAATCAGATTATAACATAGTGAGCCACGTGGTGCGCAGCACTGACTTCCAGAGGGCTAGTGGCTCTGCTCCCCTCACAGTTGGTCTCTCAGAGCTTCCCAGGAAAACTGGCACATACCCACCACGTGGCAGCTATGAATTTCTTACTAAAATTCATGATGATTAAAATTCTAAAAACTTCGGAAAATAGTACATATAAGGAAAACACTAAGTCACAAAGACTGGGCTTGGACCAGAGTGATGCTAACATTTGCTGAGTGGTCCCTTTGTGGCATGGCCTGGCCTCTTTCAGCCCCCAACCTCCCAGCCCCCCAGGTCTGCACCTGCCTTGCACACTTCTCACCTGCAGCACTGAACCCCCCTTCTGCCAGGAGTGAGGAGACCAGACTGTTCCCCCTGATTGCTTCCTCCCTGCCTCCCATTGGGGACAGCTGTCCCTGTAGCTGGCCTTCCTGGAAGTGGGAATGTTATATTGTCCCTCCCCAGATGCCTCTCCTGGTCATTGTAGAGCTCTGTGCTGGAGTCACAGTGACATTTATTTGTCTCCTCCTCTTGGGTTCACATGACACATGTGCTTTCTCTTCCGCAGGGTAAGCTGGCCCTCCTTTCCCTAACCACGGGTGGCCTGGCTGAGATGTACACGAGGACTGGCGTCAGAGGAGATTTTAAATACTTCTTGTGGCTCCTCCAGGTAGCCATCGCACTGCACCCACCCCTCTCCCACAGCTTCCCAGGTGCAAAGTGAGATGGCACTGAAGCCTGAAACCCAGATCATTTTGACTCCATCTGGATACAGGAAATTAGGACATTTTACTCTTTTTAAATTTTTGGCTTAGCAGCACTGAAAAGGTTGGCAATAGGGTCAACACAAATTATAATGGCAGGCTGCAATATTATTTGGGTGGAAGCTAGCAGAAGCCTGGTTAGCTGGGGTCTGCTCTGCAGATAACAGGATTGCCCGGGTGGAGGTGGGAACCTGGGGAGGTACTGAGCCCACAGAGCTATAGAGTCCCCAGGCCTGGCTGCTTGCTTGAAGGCAGCATCGCCCTCCAACCCTGGTGATAGGTGTCGGGGCCTGGCATTCCCAACAGCCTCAAGCCCCCCACAGAGGAAGTCCTTGGAGCCCCTCACACAGGTCCTCAGGATTCAGGCCTACTGTGTGCGCACCCCTGGGCCCTAGGGCCCCGGGGATGGTGGTCTGCAAAGGGGAAAGCAGTGGGCATGGCAGGTTGACGGGAGGAGCACAGAACTGCCAAGAGACTCCGTTACTGAGATGGGAATGTTCTCCCACATTGTTATAAGGCATGGCTGTCCGGGGAGGGGTGATCACATATTTAGCAGTTTGTGAGCTCACTTTTAAAATGTGACAGTGATGTGTGGGCCTCTTGCCTCTCACCAACCCTGGTAGGGTAGGCCCGGACAGGATGTGGGCTCTAAGGGAAGGAATGCAGAGGAAGGAAAGGATTATTTCTAGGGGGAAAAAATTCTTCTTTTAAAGGAGATGACACAGGGATTCCACTTAGTGATGCTCTGAAAAGGAAATGATCATTTATAAGCTTTAACATCTTTCTTCAAGGTCAACTGGTCTCTCACGTGCTATTTTCCACACTTAAATTATTCTTGATTTTTGTTTTTTTTAAAATCTTTATATTTTTTCACTTTGAAAAAGTGCATAACAGAAAAAAAGTGAGACTATAAATACAAAAACATGAAGTTAGTACTCTTAATTTCACCTTAAAATTAATCATTTTTAATAATCTATATTATTAGATTATATTTACTTTTTCACATAAGTGGTATACTATAAATGTTGCTTCAAACTTCTTATTGATTATATTTAATACATATCTTGAGAAACCTTCCAGAATGGCATATTATAGCAAGAATAATCTCATTCTAGAATAATCTATCATATAAATAGATACTAGTTTGCCAAGTCAATCAAAACTATAAAGTTCATGTCTGAGTCAGTAGCTAAGATCAATGATAGAATTTGGAACTTCTTATTGCCCAGAATTCTTCAACTCCCCGGTAACAGCATCCTAAGGTTATAGGGCACTTGGCTGTTTTCAGTTACCCAGGAGCATTCAAGGTTTTCCGCTGTGTTTTTGAAGTTTGATTTCATGCCCTCTCCCCCTTTAATTATCCGCCTGGATGCTGTGTGAGGGTGTGGCTTCCAATCAATGCTTCCCGTTCTCTGTGGCTGCAGCACGGCACCCTGCACTTCTGTGGGTTTAAGGTGCTCGCCCCCCAGATCAGCTTTGCTCCTGAGACGGCCTCAGAAGAGGAAAGAAAGAAGATGGTGGCATCCTGGACCCAGAGGCTGGAGAGCATCTGGAAGGAAGTGCCCATCCCCTACACGGCCCCTTGGTACTTTGGGCAGTAGCATCACGTGAGCAGCACGCTAGGAGATGCAAGCGCATGGGAAGAGAAGATGCTGCAGTAATAAATCTCAATGACAACAAGTTCCCTGGATCTGTTCACTGAGGTGCGGGATGAGTTTCTTCAGGGGCTTATCCAGCCAGGTCTGGACTTTCTCTAATCAGAAGGTCCTATTGACTTCCATTCTAATACCATTTTTCACCCAGGCTTGCTTTCCTTTCTGATATCTGTCCCTCTCCCTATAGCCATTCTTCACGGGTAATGTTTTCAGATATTCCTTTTCACATTAAGCTGCATTTGTGTTTGTCTTATTTCATAACTTAAGTTTCTATTTTTCTCATAGGAAACTTTAATTTTTCCATAGCTAGTGTTTTAGCGCTGTTTGGACATTTCTTTCATCTTCTTCTTTTAAAAGCTTGTATTATGACTATGAGCTTTACTTGAACAGCCATTTAAATTATATTTAAAATCACTGAGTGCTAATTACAATGAAAATTTCCAAACAATAGTCTTGTGGCTGCTTATCATGATGCATGTGTTCATGAAACACCACTAATAATCCACCCCCCCCCCCCAGGAGGCAGGGGGAGATGGAGGTATCTCCACAAAAACAGGTTATAGAGATTCAGTCTCCTCCTCCTGCTTCTGATCTTCATCACCATCATCATCATCACCTCTGAGAACAAAGCCTCTGCTTATGGGCAGAACCCTTCCTTGTTGCCAGCACCCCTGCAGGCCCCTCACGTGGGACTCCGCCTGCACTCCTCACTGGATCCTCCTCATCAAACACCACCTTGTTGGCATCCTCAGCTTCCAACAACTGTTCACCTGCATTCTCTTCCTCAGCATTTTCAGACCCTCTCCATCTGCATTTTCTCTCTACTCTTCTTCATCTAATGCATCATCCAATATGTTTTCATATTCATCTTCTTTTTTTGCATCTGGATCTTCACACTCAGTGCTTTTCTCCTCATTCTCTCAGACCCATTACCCTCAGACTCTAAAATTTCAGGGTCATTTCTCCTAATTTTCTTCTAATTATTTTTTGGAGCCATCTTTTCCAGAGAAGCCTTCAGATTCTCTTTCCAAGATTATCTTCCTCAAACCTTTTTGGGGCCACCCTCCTGTTCAGCTTCCTTTTCAGGGTCTCCTTCAGACCTTTTGCAAAGCCTTTCTTGTCACTATTTTTTTTTTTAAATCCTCACCTGAGGATATGTCTTTTTAGATTGATTTTTTGAGAGAGAAAAAGAGAGAGAGAAACATCAATGTGGAAGCGAACATCAATTGTTTACCTTCCATAGGTGCCCTGACCAGGAACCAAACCTGTAACCAAGGTATGTGCCCTGAGCAGGAACCAAATCCACAACCTGTTGATACATGAGATAATGCTCCAACCAATTAAGGAGCCCAGCCAGGCTCTTTGTTATCTTTTTAAGTATAGTTTTACTTATTTCAGAGAGGAAAGAAGAGGAAGAAGGAGATAGAAGCATCAATGATGACAAAGAATCATTGGTCGGCTGCCTCTTGCACACCCCCCTACTGGAGATTGAGCCTGTAATTTGGGCATGTGCCCTTGACCGGAATTGAACTGGGACCCTTCAGTCCGCAGGCTGATGTTCTGTCCACTGAGCCAAACCAGTTAGGGTTCATCATCGTTTTTTTGTTTGTTTGTTTGTTTGTTTGTTTGTTTTGTTTTGTTTTTTTATAAATATACTTTATTGATTTTATACAGAGAGGAAGGGAGAGAGATAGAGAGTTAGAAACATCAATGAGAAAGAGTCATCGATCAGCTGCCCCTTGCACACCCCCTACTGGGGATATGCCCGCAACCAAGGTACATGCCCTTGACGGGAATCGAACCCAGGTCCCTTCAGTCCCCAAGCTGACACTCTATCCATTGAGCCAAACCGGTTTCGGCCGTTTTTTTTTGTTTGTTTGTTTTTTGGGTTTTTTGAGGCTCATCTTTTTAGATTCTCTTTCCTGATCCTTCTCTGCAGAATTTAGGAACTGCTTCTTCCAGACTTTCATTTGGGGCCATGCTCTATAGCATCGTTTTCAGAAGCATCTTCAAAATCACCCCATCTGCTTCCCTTTTTTTTTTTTTTTTTTTTTTAAATTTCTTTTCATAAATGGTGTATTTTTAAGGGATTTAATCCAGGACTTATTCCATACTCAGATAATTGTCTATAATTAGAATGAAAGTCATAAGAACAGCCTATTAAATTGCCAGTAATCTTAAATAATGCAGCATATTATTACTTTTAACATGTTTATGTTCTAGATTAAGTGTAAAAATTCAAACATCAATTTTCATTATCAATAAAAAGTTTGAATTTTAAAAAGAGGATGCCAGCCTGGCCAGTGTGGCTCATACAGTGCTGGGGGGAATGCAGGCAGGTGCAGCCGCTATGGAAAACAGTGTGGGGTTTCCTTTAAAAAGTAAAATTGGAACCACTCTTTAGCCCAGTGTTCTCACTTCTAAGAATATATACTAGACCCCCAAATGCCAATCAAAAAGAATATATGCACCCGTAGGTTCATAGCAGTGTTAGTTATGATACAATAGCTAAGATCTGGAAACAACCCAAGAGTCCATCAGCAAATGAGTGGTTAAAAAGCTGTGTTAAATTTATAGACTGGAATACTATGGAGCTGTGAAAAAGAAGGATCCCTTACCCTTTGAGACAGCATGGATGGAAGCAACTAGGGTGCCTGTGATCAGAGTTCACATTCTCCTCATTCTAAATGACAAGGAATGCCATGCCCATCCTCCAGGCAGTTTTTATTGCAGGAGTCACCAGCGGTCGTCCATAGCTGTTCCACACCAGTTCCTGTTTCTCCTGGTGGCCACACCCTGATTTTCCTTAGGGAATCATGCCCTTTGGTCAAGTGTGGTTTTCATAAGGGTCACACCTCCTCAGTACCAAAGAGTGGCACCTGACAGACTTGACCAATCTGTCTGGGGCCCCAGAAAATCCAAGCCAAGCAATGAGATGAAACTCAGGAACTCATTGGCCTCCTGGGAGATGAGGCTTCTTGCTTCTGCACTTAGAGCCGTGACTAAGTTGTTCATGGACCATGACATAGTGAGCACTGCCCCAAAAATGAAGCCAACCCTGAGAAAAGCTCATTTAAACTATTAATATATAAAGAGACAACTTCCTAATGACATTTTTCAACACCTGGACCCATCCTTGCTGAAGCTGGAGTTTTTTATTTAGTTCTTTAGTCCTGCAAGGCAATATGTTGCTGTTTTTGTTTAAATGGTTTTATAGTAACTGAACAATCCTAAATAATTCAACCAGCAGTTTGTAACTACAAGGAAATAACTACTATAGTGAAAATAAAACACAGATTAATTTTGTAATCTGAGTATAATGATATAAAAATAAAAATAGAGCCCAGCTGATGTCGCTCAGTGGTTGAGTGTGGGACCTATGAACCAGGAGGTCACAGATCAATGCCCAGTCAGGACACATGCTCGTTCCCCAGTGGGGGGCATGCAGGAGGCTCCCAACCAATGATTATCTTTCATCATTGATGTTTATATATCTCTCTCCCTCTCTCTTCTTTGAAGTCAATAAAAATATATTAAAAATAAAAAACACATAGAGCTCAACTGGTGTGGTTCAGTAGTTGAGCATTCACTTATGAACCAGGTGGTCATGGTTCCATCCCTGTTAGGGCACAGGCCTGGTTGTAGGCTCAATCCTCAATAGGGTGTGTGCAGGAGGCAGTCAATGAATGATTCTCTCTCATCATTGATGTTTCTATCTCTCTCTTCTTCTCCTTTCCTCTCTGAAATCAATAAAAAATATATGTTCTTTTAAAGAACACACATAGAAGTGTATAAAAGTAGACCATAAATTTTTTTAAAGAAGTCAGATAATTTTATTTATATCAGAATAAAGAAAAATAATGAATACAAATAAATAGTTAATAATATTTCATGTGTTTCTATAACCGAAGTTTATGGTGACAGCAAAATAGAAAAACAGAGTATTAATAAACCAAATTAAATTATATTTAATTTTCAAGCATAATATATGAATAGGAAATTAGGTGGCTGAACCCTCATGTCTGGGTTAAATCACTAGACCTTTAGGTGTCTTACATGGCATCACTAATATGGCTCAATGAAATAATAAAAATCAGAAACGCGAAGAGTAGCACAAAGGGTGCCACATGGGTGGAAAACACATTAAGACAAACGCAATTTCTGAGCATTACCAGTGCAAAAGCTCTCATCCCTCATTGTCTGCATTCTGCATTCGCTAAGAAATGAAAACTTGAAATGCAAAGCTTTCAGCTATAGATTTTATAACTTCTGAAGGTCATTATGAACCAGCTCAGATTTTTTAAAATATATATATTTCATTGATTTTTTACAGAGAAGAAGAGAGAGGGATAGAGAGTTAGAAACATCGATGAGACAGAATCATCGACCAGCTGCCTCTTGCACACCCCCTAATGGGAATGTCCCCGCAACCAAGGCACATGCCCTTGACCAGAATCGAACCCGGGACCTTTCAGTCCGCAGGCCCATGCTCTTTTCACTGAGCCAAACTGATTTTGGCCCAGATCAGATTTTAGAGCCTATCTTTTGTGGTCCAGAAACTGAAATGTGCTTCAATAGTTTTATTTGTTATATTGTTAGATCTATGTAAAAAATGCTGAAAGCAGACAGTACCTTAGTTCTACATTAACAAAACTTTCATGCAAATGACAATTATGACTTCTTTGCTAAAGGAAACATTATGAGTTTGATTTTGAGGAGGCAGCCTGCTATACACAATCTGATTTGTAGGAAGGCTGATCAAAAGTATGGGAGAATTCATTGGATAAATTACATGCACTCACTAGTCCAATCCCATGCCATACTGAATTATGTTGTTAGTAGCCAGCTTGGGCCCATGCTTCCGTCAACTACTGAAGAGAACTGGCATTGCTGGGAGAAAAAAAATGTGTCAAACTATCAAAACTGCACAGTAGCTCCTTATGGTC